TCCCTTAAAATTGTAAAAAAACTGTTTATTTGTGGAGATACATAAAAACATAGATACTTTACGTATAAGTATATACATAATTTACCAGACTGTATTGTTTGAGTTGTGTTCATATAATGTATGTCTAGCCTACGGGATATTATAAATCATGCATTCATTGCATAAAAATCTGTTGTAGATTTTGTCTGAGTTAACATTAAAAAAGTCTAAATATTCAAAACAAAACATTTAAAAAATTTGTAATTTTTTTTTTTTATTTCAACTCAGTTACTTTTACTCTCATTCTATTATTTTTTTCTTTTAACGATTTTGAAAGTTCTTAATCGTAAAGCTTTTGTATATAGAATTTCTATAGAATTTTTATAAGAGCACAGTTAAAATAATATGCATTTTATATTTATTTACTTATTTTATGTTGTCTGTCATTGATTTTTTATATCATACATATAAATATAATAGTTTTCCATTTATTTTGTTATTTTTCTTTTATTTTTATTCTTATATTTATCTATAAAATATTCTACACACATATTGTTAATTTGATACAGATATTAAGTTAGAAAAAGTGTGGAGACATAGTTGAAGAGACAAACTGACTTAACCATTTCCTTTTTCTAAGCTACTGTTACAAGGAAACAGTGTTTCTATTTTATTAAAATTTATTTATATAGATGAGTTTGGATTGAAATATTATAGTTGCCATATTCATTTAGATATACTAGTTCATTCAAAAATTTTACGAAACAAAAATGAAACAATGACTTTTATAATTGTAGAAATGACTTTTATTTTCTTAACACTCATCAATTTATGAATCCCATCTCTGTAGTGGTGTTCCAAACGGTTTACAGAGTTTTCAAAAATTTTACGAAACAAAAATGAAACAATGAGTTTTAATTGTAGAAATGACTTTAATTTTCTAAACTCCCTTCAATTTATGAATCCCATCTCTGTAGTGGTTTTCCAAACGGTTTACAGAGTTTCCCTTGACCACAAGTATAACCTTTTTATTTCCAGAAATTCGTTTTCAACGAAAAATTTAATTTTTGAAATGACTACAATCCGTATTCGTACTACCACTTGAATGTAGTGATCGTTCTGTTTGATTGTTTAATGAGCTAAATAAAGAAGACTATACTTTTGATAAGTAATAATTTTAGCTATTCAAAAGGTTGCAATAATGATCTTAGTTTGCTATTTTACCGGATTAAAGTTAAAATGTCAACTTTTACATAAAAAAAAAATAAAAAAAATCTCAAGGATCGCGTTCACACCACTTCTTAAAATCTTGTCTTTATTCAAAATCGTCGTGGTAGACACGATCAAGTGTAATAACATTTTGCAGAAAGTCCTTTTTGTTTAATTTAAAGGAATGTTAGTAACAAAGTTGCATTTGAATGTGCTTCTTAATGCATTCTCTTCGCTAAAATGGCTGAGCTTTTATTAAATTCCTCTCTGGCAATAAACGATCTTCCAAAATTTCATCTTGTGTTTTTGCAATAGTTTCTTATGTTGATACACTTTTTGAACGTACTTCTTGTAGATCGTTTTTAAAGTAAAATAATAAATAGTAACTTTTAATAAAAACTGACTTATAAACCATTTAAAAAAAAAAACAAATTTATATAACACAATTCAAAAAAAGAAAAAAACTCCCAGTTCTAAGAATCTAAGAAAACGATTTATTTACTGCATTATGTTTAAATATTTTCATCGTTAAGAATAGACTGACACGTCAATTTTTAGTGTCTCTTAAAACCATGAAATCATGGTATCAAAATAAGATCTATGTTAGAAGTTAATGAGATTGAATAATTTATATGTAGTAGATGTAACGAAAAACTTGTACCAAAATAGATGTGTGATTAAGTAAATCGTCTATCAGAATTAATGTATAGAATCGTATGAGTCCAAAAAAATATATAAAAGAACGTTGTGTCCAAACGTACTCCTTTTAATAATACTTATGATTAACTAATGAGTATAAATTTTATAATTCTAACAAGTAAACAAATAGCAAATTAATAAACCTACCATTTTTGCAAGTATAGTTTTTTATCTTAGTGAATACGGCCTACTAAGGCCGACGCTTATCTGGTAATAAGTACGTAACGCAACATGTGTAATTGCATTAAAATAACAGCGCAATCCTTGTCATCCTGAATCTAAATTATCACAAAGCTTCCTTGTGGCACACTAGATAGTTATCTGGTATTCATTGGACAATAAACTTATAGTGCGACACCGATCCATATCCATAGAACTTTAAGTTTGAGTTTTGCACACGTTTTGCCACCCCTTATGTAAAATCATCGGTTAGTAAAGTACGTAAGGATGCTTCGAGCTTGAAAATTAGCTGACTGTAATTATACTAAAATTATTTAATTTGTAAAGAAATTTAAATTTTTTTAAATCTCTTTTTTAAGAAACTTAAGTCACAATGGGTCCAATTTTTTTGGGATCCAACTTTATCAGTCTTTCTGCAAGACGGATTGTTCACTTGCACTTACTTTAATTAAAACAAAGTCTTTTTAAAATAAAACATCTCAGTTCTCTTCATTAGTATAATGTTAGTATATACATAATAACAAGTGAATATATGCGATAGATCTACTATTTATGCTATAGATTTAAATAAAGTGGTATATATGGTTTAAAAGTCGTACTGTTTAAATATTTGTGCATTTACTTAACGATGTGAAGCATCCCCTCCTGCATTTTCGTCAACAACAAGAAAGCCAGCTCGTTTAGGCCAAGGACAAGACTTATTTTTCAATGTCCTTATTGTTTTGATTTTTTACTTTGTATTTCTTTTTTTTGTATAATCAATGAATGCTGAAATCATTTACCAAATTCATTTATTATTATTATTTTCCTTTTGCTTTCGGCAAAATAATATCCATTCGTCTGCATTAATTTCCTTTACGGCAGTGCTGTTGTATTTCTATCAATGTTGATGGTAGTACGATATTTTTGTGCTTTTCATCAACATCAGCATTTCCATCAGCGCACAGTTAAACATGCTATTGTAACCATGTCTTTCACCGAAGACCAAGTCTTTAGTATTTTACTCCCATTTCAATCAAATAAAACCAACCAGTAAACTTGCTCGCCTTTTTATGTTCCTCCTAATGTTTGGAAATTATCAAGGAAGTTGTTTGCAACGTTGCACGGATATTTTTTGTAGCATTCACTCACTACTCGTTCTGTATCGATTTTTATATTTTACGCAAACTCATTATTTGTACTTTTTTTTCTACTCTGCCTCGATTTACGGAGTAATCCAATCTTTGTCGTACATTCTACAACATATGTGCACTCAGGACTCTGGCAACTTGGCTTAATACATTTGTTATTATTTTCATAGTAGGACGTGTGCATACACTAGAATCCTTATGAGTGAAAATATATGTACCTTCATACAGATATGTTTCGTATTTTTCTTTTGTAATGATTTGAACGCCCAGGGGGTGGTTTTATTTACTTTTATTTTAACTTCTCACAATATTTTTTTTTCTTTTGTTTTATTACTTTTTGTTCACGTTAAATTTGTGCACTTTTAGGGTTCCTTTGTAAATATTAGACCTTAAGGTTTTGGTTTTAGCAGTATCATATTGTGCCTGCAGTTCTCACATCCAAAATTAAAAGCAAAAATGTGTTTTCCTTTGTTTTACATTTTATTTATTTTACCTTTTATCCAAAGTGTTTATTTTTTTTCGGCTTCTGGTCATTCATTAATTTTTTAGTTCTATTTATTTAAGATTCTTCCCTAAATTTTATTAGAAGTTGATGTTTCCTTTCATGCCCCTTTGCTTTCAATTTGAAGTGGTTTATGTTTTTATATGAGTCATTTTTAAGCATCCTACAAATAGATTTATGGACGTTTTTCATGAAAATACCCTCTTAACTTTAAGGAAATTAATTATAATTTGATAAAATTTGGACAATGCATTTGAATCAAAGCTACGGATCGGTTCAAATTGGAACTTCCGACTTTTAAGTAGATTCGCACTGAACCACGAAGTAGAGTTGTTCCAGTTCCAAACTGGAGGCGAAGGCGACGCAGTGAAGCGCACCACTGCAGAAATGTGTGTGGTTCACAATCCTGATTCAAATCAATATTTGTGTTAATATAAAAGTCTTTAGATGGATTTATAAAATAAAATCGGTTCAGAAACGTGTATTTTATGATAAAAGACTCTACACTGATGAACAGGTTATTAATCTATAGAAAATAGATTGCTTGCTATCATTCTAGAATATTGTATCTTTTTTTAAAATCTAAGGCGATCGACATGTGAACAATCATAACAGGCCTTAAAAATTTATGTTCAACTATAAAAATTTTTAAACTTCTTTAATAATAGATTATAAAACATAGCTTGAAGATTTGTGCGGTAGCATAAAATAAGCTAAAAAAAACATCTGGAAGTAAAGGCTATTTCGAAGCGTATAGTAGCAGGTAATTAAAAGTGTAACATAGTGACAAACTTATGAACATCGCCGCTAAGACGATGTTGTGTGTTTAATGAAATTCTACAACTTGTTCCAATGATTGATTGGTTTCTCTACTACCAGTAAATAATGTGGTTATAACAAGAAACTAAAATGGGAGGTTGTCATATATTTTATAATGAAACCGCCATCGCTCACGTATACAAACAGCATACGTATTGACACCATACAAATTGAGAGACAGTCAGAAAGAAGTTTTGATGCATTTATTATAAATACTATCAGATTATTATTCGATCGATCTCTTCAACATTGTCTAGCTGACAAAAACTTGACTCAAATAAAAGTATTGTGTTCTGCAAAAATGCTAGAAAAAAGTGTAGCAGCCAGAATCTTCGAAAGTGAAATTAGAACAATGAGAAGTAAAGGTAACATCGAGAACTAGATCTAGCAGGATCTGAGAGTTATGAATGTCATCAACTGAAAGATAAATGCCAAAAATAGAGATGAGGGGGGAAATGTCGTAAAATAAGCTCAGTTCCTACATGGATGATGATGATGTTTTGCAAGGTTAGCTGAGGATTTCAATGCTAACATTAGGAAATAATGGTTTCGAGTAATAAAGGAAGACAGTGTTCGAAGAAATGACCATATTTGAAATGATAAAATATTTGTAATTAATTTTTACTCAATACATTTAATACTTTTTATTCAGTCCAATATGTTTTAATATAAATGGGATAAGAAAATAATTTATTTACCATTTATCTTTTAAAGCTTTTAAGTTCAATTGAACTTCTAATATACATATAAAGTAAATTAATTAATAAGTTCAATTTATATATATTTAGCTAAAAAATGTTGTTAGTAAGATGTGACACTAACATCATTGTTGTTGTTATCAGATTCCAACAAACCCAAAACTAATTTCTTTTCTTATATTTATATTTTATATAAAATTTTTAAAATTTTAAGTCATATAACATTTAATTTTTGTTTGTCGGTTTAATTTTATTAGTCTTGCATGATTTTTATTCTGTAAACGTTTCTGTTGGTTGTTATTGTAAGTCTCCGGAATAAATAAAAAATACTTCAATTATTTTAGACAAAACGAATGAATGAATCCGAAAAAGCAGCGAATGAATGAATACAATGATGAATGTGGCAGACCAAATGAATGAGAATATGCACTGCAGACGACAGTTGTTACTGAAACTGCAGTCTTATTTGAGTGGCGTAAAATACACATTATACATGCTCCGAAAAAATAAAAATAGTTAATACAAAAAAGTTCAAAAAAGTTGTATCTGCAACAAACAGTCAAATGATAGCACATGTATCTCATCACATGTACACTCGTGCAGTAAGAGTAAATCTAGTAGTGAATTCGGAAGCTTATAGTAAGTTCAAGCCAAAAGCTCATAAACTCATATACGAGTATTCAATTAAAAAGAAATTTTTTAGATTTAATCTATTTATTACGCTACATTTTATATAATTAAAAAGTATCTACGCAATTCATTTCATTCGCATTCATTAAACACATTTCTAATAGATATGAATCTCAGTTCAAATTATGGAGCTTCCTAAGTAGCATAGATATTTGTGTCGTTTTATGTTTGTAATTGTGATTGTGACGTTGTCAAATGTCGTAAATGTCATAAATGTGCAGTTCATTGTGTACGCGAAAATATTTCATGTTGGATTTGTATATAATGTTTGTACAAATATATATTTTAATACTATTTCAGATAACAATTGAAATCACAGTTTCTGCCAAGGGCAATAGTGCGAATAATAGCCGAAGCCTTTAGCTTTTAAATAATTTTTATTTTGTAGAGAATGTTGTATATACAAATTTGTGACCTACTTTAATAGTGGAAAATTGCAGTTATTATTTAAGCACATTTAAGATAAAAATTTTCTTGTATATAAAAATTCAATTTTTACAGTATTTTATAAATTAATTTGCATATTTGCATGCATTTACAAAAATTCTTTAATTTTATGATAATAAAACATCAATGCTATACTTTACCAAAAATATTTGATATTAACTTTTAAAATGTTCGAGAATGTAAAATTAATGATATATTAATTAAAAAAGTTTGTTTTGAACTAATATATTTGTGTATTATAAAAAATGTTGAGCTAGCCTTCTCAATCATTAATAACTTATATATAACAAAGTATACCACGACTAGATATATTGACAACGATGAATTTATATAAGTTACTCTCTGTTATAACTGCTTGTAAAATCCCTTTGGGTGGTGTTGAACGGCGCTTGGTCGTCTTCAACGAGTGGGTCCGGAACGTAAAACCGGTCGTATTATCCATGTATTCGTATTGTAATCGTTACATGTTATTTGCTTTCAGATCCCAGCGGGTTACATCAACAACAACTTTGTGTTATATTCACATAATTGTGAATAATGAATATATTAAGTTTCTTAACACTTTTATAACGATCTAAAAAAAATGTAAGAAATCATAACCATATAAAAGACCATATTAAAAGACCATGTATATCATAAATATATGCATAATTAGCACGACATATCAAACTGGGTTAGAAATGTCCATTAGGCCCTCGGGTCCTTACCTTCTTCCCCTTGAGTTGGAAATGACTAGGCATGTGATGGCTTACAATAATAAAAGATAATGGTTTTATTCAATTCCGTATTAGATTTATAATAAAAAACTTTCTATACACGATTATCTAATTATATTACAACTTGAATACAAGTAAACGTAAATCAGTTTGAAAAATATCTAACCACACATACAGGATATTTTTATGAGTTCTAAGTTTAGTTGGAGTTCCTTGAACTGAACACGTTTCAATCCATATACCAAAACGCAGTCAATCCATATACCATATACCATATTTTTTCTTTCAACGAGCAACGAAAGGAAACAAAGTAAAAGTTCTGCACGAAGGAAATATTAAATGAATGTTTTTTTTTATACTAGCTATAATAAATGACAAAATTTTTTTCTTCTACTTTGCTGCGTGACTTTTTCATACTTTTACTATATTTTTTTTACAAAATATAATTAAGTATTCTACAGTTTTAAGTCTTCTTAGTCGATAATAATAAATGTTGCTGTTGAGTGAACGCCTAGAACAGAAGGAGTATGTTAACTTGCAAATTATTGCCAGTTGCTGTAATATCACATTTTTTCATATGTTTTAATTTCTTTTGTATATTTAATGTCATCATTCCTTTTAGATATATTTCACAGTTGAAGCAAGCTTTGTTTTTCATACTCTTGAAATGTCTGCTAAAAATAATGAAAAATTGTATAAACCACTTAACGCACAAGTACATACACCCACACCAACCAGACCCAGACCATAGCTATTGATATATATACTTTTTTCACATTTTTTGTATTTTTTGTTTTCAAGTATTAAATTGCTATGCAATAGTGACTGTCGCTCCACTGCGACCATTCATCAGGCATCTATGTCATTATTATTTTTTGTTCTGGATGTATAAACTCCCCTAGAAGCACTGAAGTTGCATTTGACAGTGCAACTCGTCTGTTTGCATATGCGATAAAAACACCATTTCAATTACAACCTTTAGTACTAGAAGCAGCACATTCACTTACTCACTACTATTCACTACTCTTACTTGCACTTGTTCAAATAAAATTCAAGGACTAACAAGACAAAGACTTGACATGTAACGAATAAACTAGCACTTTTTAGTGCAGTGCATCATTGTCTAAACCAATCCTTATTTTGCATACATACCCATATACATAATTTTTATAATATCCTTTGTCTTGCTAAAGTTACTTGACTGGAAATTGTTTATAAAAAGTTTATTATCATGCGTGGGTTTGTGCTTAATAATAGTAAATAATATTACTTTTCTATTAATATTTGCCTGACATAAATTAACTACAACGTTTGTGCAAGAAAATTAATTATATAATATGTAGTATAGCATACGAGTATAGATAAATACCACTATTACAGATATTATGTATATATTCTTTAAATAACTTTACAAAAATATCGATTTTTTCTATTAATATAGTACATATTTACACTGACCGCTCTAAAATAGATGAGCGAACCTGCAGTGTCGTTCAGGCAGGAGTGCTGACGATTAACTACGCAGCAAATGGATCCTAGACAACAAGATCCATGATCTAGTAAATATTTTAATCTTCTCGGACAGCTAAGCTAGCATCAAACCACCAGATCTGGTAAGAGCTACTGCCTACCAGATCTTCTTAACAATTTGATAATATTGGGTTTCTAAGCTATGCGTGTCAGTGTCCAGCTGAAATAGGTACCTAGACACGGGCGTTTATAAGCTTCACATTGCTCCCTAATCTTTCATCCCACTTGTAACGGCTAAGCTAACAATGGAACAAAAATATCTCATCATAGCTAAACAAAATTGTGCAGATAAAGCCTGCTTTCAGATCTCAAGATTGATCTGAAACAAACTGTACAAAAATTTTGCCAGTCAGTTGCTTCAACTAAGGCTGATCTGCTTAGCACTACGATAACGATGTTAACGGTTCATTTCATGCTATGAGACTAGGTCTACCCTACAAGGACGTTTGTCGTTCTGCGGATGAGAAGAAAACCGTACTTTACCTTATAAACACTCATGTATTAGTGTCTATCATTGACAAGAAGGCCTTTACAATCTTCACGGTCTCTTTTCTTGCTGTCCTGACAGAACTTTCATCCAGCAAAATTGAGGTTTACTTTCACTTGAATGGAGGAGGAGTCGTGTCATTTAGCATGGCTGGAATACTAACTTCTCGGATGCGTATGAACAATACTAATGTGTGGTATCACAACGGGCCATTATTTGAGTTCAAGAGGGCTTTCGACACAAGGCTTGGCCCTAACCTAACCTAACCTAACACTTAATAAAATCTACGAAAAAACAAAGTGGATGAAAAAAACATAAGTAACTCAAACATCAAGTAAAGTTGGTGACTTACTGAAGATCTTTAACATATATGCTGTTGTATACATACTTATATAGCCCCAGATATATATATACTATATTTATTAGTTTTTATATAATGTTATTTCTTAACATCTTTGAGTATGTATTTTTATTCAATCTTAAATTTTTCACGTACAGTCTATTTCTCAATATTAATTTACGTCATTTAATTGTTTTTACTTACTATTCATACTTGACACTGAATTAAAAAAAATATATTCTAGTTAAATGATAACAATAGATAAGAATGGTTTGCATAATTTTTTCTTAACAATGTAATCATTTTATCATTTCCTCTAAATACCTTACAAATTAACATATACATACTTCAAATCACAATATGTTGAATACATGCATACATACCTAGTTATCTACCATGTGTTTGGCATGACAATGAACTTTCTTGCCCTTAGTATGTTTAGATAATTTTTCGTACTGTCACTCTTAATGGATTTGCTGCTTTTTGTATAAACTTTTTGTTAAAAATTTTTTTTTTTCAACACTTTATTTAAAATTAATGGAATCATTTAGTTAGGGGAAGATATTTTTTAGCACTTTTTGAGTACTGTTGATTTTTGCACAATATACTAAAGATGATATCATTATTTTGCATGCAAATACTCCTGCAAAAGTTCAACTTTTAACGTGTAAGTAATTTACACATTTTACGTAGTGTAACCGCCTCCAGCAACAACAACAATAACAACACCACCTACACCTATGGCAATAGCGCCCTATCTACATTAACATCTTTAAGTGGTTGCACTTCTAGTGCTGTTGATGTTCGACTCTATTGTGGTTCAGCTTTCCACAGTAAATTGCAGCAAACTTACAGTTTATGCTTAGCTGCAGTTTCTTCTGACCTTTTTAATGTAATGCATTTGCATCCCTACATCATCAGATTCCAAATTGACAAATTGCAGAATGACCTTTTGAAAAGTTGTCTATGCTCTTGATTTTCATTTCAGCAAAGGTTAGTTGGCGTAATGAAAAAGCTTGTTCAACATGAATATTTTTTATGTGCACATCCTTTGGCTGCTGGCGTATGAGTACGAGTATCTGACGACGCTGGAGTAATGCCAGTGGAAAAATGTATGAAATTGTTCGCAAGTTTACTGTGTTGCGGTGCGGCTGTGGTACGCTTGCTCTAGCATTAGTTTATATCTACAAACCACATGTTTGCACAGCAAATTACCAAAATATATTTGCATGTCCTCTGTAATTGATGTAGTTTTGGTTTAGTGGTTATTCTATGCATAAAAGTAATTTTTCACTTTGTGGAATTTGTTGTCCTTTTAGCTGCTTCCTGCACTTTAATTTGTTGTGTAAATAACATTGACATTATTTAAGTGCGAATATCGTATTTACACAATGCCTTCAAAATGAATTTTATGGTTTTTGTTTTATTTTTGATTTCCCCAAGTTTCTTTCCTTTTTATGACCATCAAAAATCACAATAAAATTTTTATGAAGGTAATAAATTCTATAAGTTTTAATAAGATTTTGTTATTTACTTAACTTGTAACTAAAAGGTCAAAGCAAAGTTTTTCCTTTCCTTTCCTTTTTGTCTCTCCTTGATTTAATAAAATTTAACAGCACTTAACCTAGTCAACTTTTTTAATACATAAATAAATTCTTCGCAATATATAATATATATATATTTTGAGTATTAAAACTACTTCAATGTTTTTTTGAAATAAAATGTTGCAAACAACATTAAATTATATAAAAATTAAATTATATTACTCGTATTTTTTATAGCGTAGTTCCGTTGCAATATAAAATAATTATAATTTTGAGATACTTTTATAAAAATATGTATAAGTGCGAGTAACTAAACCTAGTGGTTACAACAAATCATTATTTCAGTTCAGGTGAGCTTTGAGTTGAAGGGAGCGACTACAATCTACCGCATCTTCAAAATATTTTCCTAAATTATTGATTATGTTATCTATTACGAACACTAATTATAGTTATGAGTGCACAAAAGTAAAAAGGCAGATAGTAACATTATATATTGTATCAAAAGTTTATTAATATTTTTATTAAAAACAACAATTGTATATTTGCTATGCATAAAGAAAGTCTCCTGAGCTAAGCTAGGCAAATCAAGGCTATTTGTCCACCGAATAATCGTGCACTGCAAGCTATTAGATCTATTGTGTTATATGTGAAGAAATTCTTCTGCGCTAAGCTAGGCAAATTAAGACTATTAATGAACCGAATAACCATTCTCGATTCAAGTCCCCATACCTTATTCTGTTAAATAAAAACCGTAAAAACGTACTAAATTTACTTTCAGTATATGTAACCTATAAAATCTATTGTAATATGCCTGGAGAGAAAATCAGGGTTTAGCTAATCAAATTCAAACTATTGACGAACTGAACTATTTTTCTTGACTTAAGCCTCCGGACCTCATTCTGTTGAATGAAGGACGTATGAAGGTACTGAATTTATTTTCAGTATCTGCAACCTATAAGATCTATTATGTGATGCTTTGATTCGAGTCCATCATAGCCATTCTTTAAATAAATGCCAGAAGAAAGTATTGGGTTTATTTTCAACCCAATACCTACATGAGATGGTCAAATGTCTCAGTTTAATTTTCTGAGAACTCGTAGGTGTCAATATCTTTTCATCTTTAAAAGATTTAGGTAAATGAGAGACAATTTAAGAAACAAGCTGTCAATGTAAGTTTGAATTTTTTCATACTATTATATCCTTTTACTTATCATATTCTATGACTGAATTATAAATGCAACTCTGGTTGGCATCCATGATGGAATGACAGTTAACGTAGGAAAATATATATAGAGATGTGTATAGTTTGATGTTAGAGTTCGTATCATTCGTACCATATAATATAATACATAAATTTAATCTGAATTTTATTATTGTTTTGCTTCGTACTCGCTTACATATTTCTTGCTTGTATGTTTCTCTGTTTATTATCTGGTATATTAAAAATTATAATTTCTGCGTTTATAGGGTTTCAAGTTCGTATCTTGTTATAAAGTCAGAATCTCAGCATATGTTCTTATTCACCTACTTAGCAACTCTTAAGGAATTGGCAATTATTTTAATGAACGTTTGTTCTTCAGCGCATCTGCACTTAATTTTACTCTTAGATATAAGATAAAATAAATATTGGGCGGTCTTCTATATATAAAGATATTTTTATATCTGGGAATATGTTCTTAATTTAAAGTGCGTTAATGAATAGTAACAATATTGTTTGCAGCGATTATTTGGAAGTCGTTAAATTAATCATCGTTCAGCCTAGATATTTGAAATAATTATTGCAAGAAATCTTTTCTTTGTGGGTGACATTTTCAATTTAAGTTAATTATTTCCAGTCTTCTTCTACTGCCTAACAGCAATACTCAGCGGTCAACAAATATCGTTTATCTTAGTAAAGCTTATTATACAAATAAGGATAAGTGTGTTGATGCTCAACTTTTTCAATACATTACTTGATATTTATTCATACTGAATTGGAAATAATTAACTTACATTGAAAATGTCAACGACAAGAAAGCATACAAAAATATACATATATATAAATATATATATAAATGTTTTCTTTTATGTTACAAAATATTTTCTTAAAACTTAATATGTCCTTAATGCTTTTATTTTTATAGTTTCCTTTTCTATTTTAATGCAAAAAAAATCTAAATTATAACAATTCAATTTGTCACGTATTTTATCTAATAACACAATAAATCATTAATCAATGTCTTATCTTAAATTGTTATAAATTTAATCAATGAATTTTTTTTATTTATTTTCACAAACACGCTTTTTGTATAAGTAGAAAAACAAACTGAGCTCCAAATCCCTTCTCTTTAAATTATTGTTATAAATCAGTTTTTCTACATAGATCAAAAATGTTTATGTAAATCATTGTACATATGTATGTATGCTTGAGTTCTACTGAGCCCTTTAATCTTCCTTAAGAACTAAAGTACGGGTATGTTTTACTATTTTCCTAGCCTAGATTTTTAACAATACTGTATTTTTCCTTTTGAATTAAAAATATGAATAAATATTTTTTTTTCTTTCATTCATAACTTAAGTGTGGAATTACAAAAAAAAAAGAATAACAATAAAAAAATCTTAAATACGTATCTCCACTTTGCTCCAATTCGTACTAATAACTTCTTTACATAAATATACTTATGCCATATCCATGCACAAAGTCATATACATAATGTAACGCATTAAAAATCCGTTCCTACGTGCACCGTACGATAGAAATTTTTTCACTTCATCTTTTATGTGAATAAAAATTCTCACTGATTGTACGAACGTGTAAGTTGTCGTTGAAATTGTATGGGAAGTAAATGAATGACGAAGGTTCTGTGGAATCATTTCTCTGGTTTAGGTCGTTGGCCTCATTTTATTAAAATAATAATAAAATCGCATTTTAAAAGCATTATAAGTACAACAAATCACAGTAGAAGATTCCTGCTGAAATGTCAGACAAATAAAGCCTTTATACATACATTTATTTATAATCATATATATATTATAATATGATGCGCTATATAATGTGTTAAATAAATGCATTTTTAGTTCCATTAAGAGATATTTATCACTCACATATGTGTATGTATAAAACTTTAAACTAATACTCAACGTGACAAGGCAACAATGCATACAATACAAATGTTCCGTATGCACCTTTAGAAAGCCTTCAAACTGTCATTGTGCTGAAAGCTATAAATCCATAAATCTATTCGAAAAATATTAGCTATTAAGCTATTATTAGCAGGTAATATCAGCAGCAGCTGATATCGTAGTTTTATTAGTGTATTATGTAGTATAATTAGCATATAAATTTTCAACTGCAATAAAATATGTAAGAGACTGCACATAAAATATAAGATTTTAATATTGATTTACTTTCGATTTAAGTATTTTTTCAATGCAAGAAATAAATTTCAACTATTTTCACACATAATCTGAAATTATTCATGCATTATTTTTACATTTTCTTATCGTGAGATTTTTCTTTTTTATTTCCATGCATTTATCACACTTAGTTGCACTACTTTCTTCCTGGCAATTCTATCTCTCATGTTATTATATATCATGTAATTAACTGTAAATATGGGCTTAATATAGAAATCAATCACATTTCTCGGTTTTCATTTTATAGTTACTAGTTAATTATTATCAGCATTACTTCATTTAGCTTAAATTACAATAATTTTTCAACATTTTTACAATGAGATTTTCTCAAATAAGATATACAATTGAAGCCTTTCTTTATTTTACTTTTCTTATTTATTCCGTTATAGGTCCAATCCACAGAAATTATCAACGTGATGCAGGAAAATATCAAATTAATTTAGGTAAACTTGTGTACATTTTTTTAATATAAAATTGTTATGTCATCGTTTATAATTTGTTAAATAATATATTTTTTTTTTCGTTTTCTTCTTTTGTAAATATTAAAACTTTCAAGAGACACTGAAAAAATTAAAAGAAACTCCGAGCTTTAACCTTTCTTTCTTGTGCCATAGTTGCCTTAAGAGTTTTCAAACTGTTACTCAATATGTCTTCATTTACGTTAATTTGCTCGCGGTTACAATCTAATTATAATAAAAATAAATATAAATAAAACCCCTAAGCCAAAATCTCAGTTGTTTTCTTAATTGCACTTGTCATAAATATTTATACAATCTCTATAGACCTGATAATTAAAAAATGACTAATTTATTTTAATTTAATTTAATTTTTAATTGAGGTTGGTTTCTAAATGCAATTATTACTTATTAAAAACACTGTACTACTTGAAGTTGAAACATGTCTACCGGAAAATGCGAATATGCATCATGCCTTTATAAAAGCCATAAGATTTGCTTATCGTTATTGACAGATTGCAATTGAATTAAACTTAAAAACAAAATTTATCATTTTATATTTTTAAGTTGTTGTACGTGTCAGTATTCATAATTATCAATCATTTTTTTTAGACAAGAAATAAATTTTATTACAAACTTGAAACAAGCGAGTTACTCTTACTTACTACTCACAGAGTAAATAAGTGTCGTAACACTTCTTTCTAAGTGCCTTTACTCCATGCCCGACTACACCAGTGGCTTATAAAAAGTGTGGTTAGTGCGTCTTTAATTGGACCATTTTACATTAGACGTGGTCTATACATATTAACACTACAAATACATTTTTTTGGCAACAGCATAGTCTTCCATACTCATGAGATAACTAAACCAGCGAAATCAATAGATGTTAAAGCATGTTCTTGCCAAAGCATAAAAAACGAAGCATCTTACTAACATTTCTGATTCGAACAATTCAGTTCTGTGACATCGTACGTATTTCTGTGATATATTTAAGTAAAGGTAGAATGATTGATCTGTAGTGTTCATATTTTTTTAGTCGAGAGACCGAATATGCCCACAATTGCGTACTGAATGAAATATTAACACTGATTATTCTTTTTTTGATGAGCAGATTGCTATCATTTCTGTCCATAATGACGGTGTCGATAGTAATAAAATCCTTGACAGCTTTGAAAGTATAATTTTCAGCAAAAACTGGTCATATAAGTGACGTGCGTTTTTGTCAGTTGTCGAGATATATATAATTTATTTTGCGCTTATTCACAGTCAAACCCTTTTTCGCAAGTATATCCTCATACCTGTAATCTATATAACAGACCCGAAACATGATATTAAAAATATAATTGTTGATATTAACCATTTAGGAATGCTATTGTATATATTTTGTATACTCGATAGTTAATTTATAGATAAACTACAGCGGTCTGCACTATTATATTAAGCTGAGCCCGACTACTATTAGATCTTCTGTCATATAAAAGCTAAAAGTTTCTCGTTGAGAAATGCTTGATAACAGATGGAAGCATGTGCTTTCGCTGCAGCATCCTTTCTCTGATCTAGATTAACGCCCGGTAGTTAAAGTGAAGGTGACCACACATCTCTTATGCAGACACAGACCAAATTCTATCGCCTCTAACAGGCCCACCTTGTTGAGTTAGGCAACCGTCCAAGAGGTTAACTACATACATTCTTTATTGTAAAAAGTTCAAAAGAAATGTTTTTTTGCGTTTATATTGTCCATGCTATAATAACTCCGTCCTTGCGAAGTTTAATGCGAGTAATAAAGCGACACTTGATCGTTGAGGTGTGATTGCAGTCACACACCTATTTACTTTTGGAAAATTTCTTATGATTGTTTTTTTAAGAAAGGAGTTTTTTAAGGAGTTAAAGGAAATCATCATTATAAACTGACTAGATGTGACTTTGTCAATACTGAGAATGTTGGGGACGTAAGATCTGCTGTTTGGATTACAGATCTTAGATATCTCAGTCAAACAATTATAAGTTGAATTACAGTTCATTATAACATTTATTTATAACCTAAATAAATACGTACATAGCGGGCTATATAGCGTTAATTTAAGTTATTATTTTATGGACTTTACTCATTATTTATGAAGATAAATAGATTGTTAAAACCATATAAAAAAATTTTAGTTAAAAATTTTATATGTAGTTTTATTTCATATTTGAAAACAATAAAATTACCTCAAGTTCACGCCTTATTGTAATGTGCCTGAAGCCCTTTCATAAAAATAATTTTAATGCCTTTTATTTTCTTAACTTAATCTCGTTTGCCATTTTGATGATTTTTCATATTTTCTTTGTAAATAATAAAATAATAACATTTTTCCCGTAAATGCCAACGGACATGACTGGACCGGACAGACCATTCATGTTCATTGTACTTTACGCAGTAACGTAGCACAACTGTGCAAGCATTTATTACTTTTTTTAACGTTTCATATTTTATTGTGGTAAAGAGAAAAATTGGATTATATTGAAAAATAAATTATTTTTGAAAATTGGTTAGCTTAGAAGGTTTGAAATATTGCATAAATTATTTGAAGCAATTTCCTTAAGTCAAAAATTTTAATTAAAATAAATATTTCTCGTAAAAAAAGCATTTAAAATTTAATATAAAATTAAATTTGCCGTTGACACTTGTTTAATTTGGCTATGTGTTAATATATTATTTAATAAATATTTTAGTACTAATGTCTTCATTAGTACGACTAATGAAGTACTTTATACTTAATTAACACATTTCGGTATAGTAAACATTTTGCAATAATTAAATATTAGGCTAAATGTATTATTATTTTATAAACATTTTTTTCTCTTAAGAATTGAATTTTAAGTTTTAAATTAGAAAAAAAAATGTTTACATATATATACTATATATATAAATTTATATTTATCTCAATTTGCTAAAATTTTTCAATTTTTCGTGCAACTACTCGTATAATATAAAATCTAAACTAGCTGACATGTTGATTTTATTACATTAGCATACTCCCAATCTGTCCATCAAATATACAAATTTTATTCCAAATTCAGTTTTGTAACTACAATGACATACGAGTACCTCAAAAAGTTTTCATGCAATTTGAGATACAAATTGGCATTGTTGGGCATTGCTTTGACGTTGTGTCCATACCGAAAATTTATTTAATTTTTCACAAAAATAAATCGAATAAACCAAAACCAATTAAAGTCTTCTTTATTTTCATAATATAGGTTATATTTTATTAAATCGAAATAAATATATTTAATTAAGAAATTTAATATTTAATTAATATTAAAAACAATTATTTTTTAAATATTTATTTATTTATTTTGCATTCTGAATCGAAATTGCTATGAATTATAATCACGTGTAGACAAAGGTGCTATAATATATACACATTTTTTTTTTTTTTTTTTCAAAATCCGCTTCAAAACATTTGTTCCCGTGTTGCATATTAATTTCACCTTTTGTACTTCAGTATTTATTTTTTTAATTTAAATTTTATTTTTTTAAATTTAATTTTTTAAATTATGCACATACACATGCTCAGATAATACGAGTACATGTGCAATTTACTCGCATGCACACACATGGAACTAACAATTTCCGCTCAAAAATGGCTGCTTAATTTACGTTCAAAAGTTTATTCATTATTGTTGGCTTTTTTGTTTGTTTTTTTTTCCATGGGTTCATTGTCTGGTTTGGTGCGGATAAAGAATTCGTTTCGTCATTACTTTCAATTTTTTTCTTTGTGGTTTTCAAGTTTAGATTTAAATACCGTAATGAATTTTAATTAAGTTTTCGATTATATATTTTTAGGAGTAGCAACACTTGTTCACCTCACCGCAAACAAAAAAAAAAGACACATAGGTCTGAAACTAAAAAAAAAAATGTTGTTCTTTTAGAACTCAAAATAGGAACACGAATAATAGCGAATTGTTCGAAAACACTTCAGTTTCATTATTCATTTTATTATATTGTATAAATATTTTATTGAATTATAATATATATTTTCTATTTTGTTCCAATATCTATTTCCCAACTTTCTGGTGGGCCCATGATTCTACGCTCATAAAACTTTGCGTTTTTGCTAGCAAAAAACTAATCCAAGTGAATTTCCACTCGTATTTAATGTTAAAATTTTGACCGACAAACTTGAAAGTATTAAGTAGAATAAGTGATACATTTGTTCACCCCACCACAAATAAAAAAAAAATTTACACATAGGTCTTAAACTAGAAAAAAAAATATTTTTTCTCTTAGAACTAATATTTCAATATGAATGAAAGCGAGTTGTTCTTCGAAAACACACTTCATTTTAATTATTCATTTTAATATATTGTATAAAACTGTAATAACAATAATTATAATAATAATAATTATAATATATATTTTCTATTTGTTTCAATATCTATTTCTCAACTTTCTGGTGGACCCATGATTCTACGTTCATAAAACTTCTGGTTTTTGTTAACAAAAAACTTATCAAAGTCGATTTCTCTGTTCATATTTGATGTTAAAGTTTTACCGACGAGTTAAACTTGGGCTTATCAAATAGAATAAGTGATAATTCCAAGGTGGTAGAGATGCACTATAAATTGGGTGTAATAATAGAGACCACGAAACCTATAACAAGCAATGAAACTTATTAAGATCTCACATTATCTTGGTGGAATATCATTCCTTTTCTATCAATATTTATTTTCATTTTTTGTTTGAAAGAAAAATTCAATTGATACAGTTAATGAGTATCAGAAAAGTCGTAGTATTTTACTTTGAAGTACCAGCATTTAGACAACATCACATTCATTTAATGTATATTGACTATCGAAACACTCTAAGCCGGTGTTTTTACTTCATAATATGTAATGATTTGCCTTAAAACAGCATTATTATATTGTCATTTGAGAAACCAGTAATAGATGTGCATGCGATAGCGTTAATTTTTTAAGAACAAGTAAAACCTAAGAGCAAGCAG